TGGATATTGCTGAAAACCATTGATCTAAGCCACAAACAGCTGCAACATTGATGATGATGATGACAAACAGCTGCAACATTGATGATGATGATGACAAACAGCCGCAACATTGATGATGATGATGACAAACAGCTGCAACATTGATGATGATGATGACAAACAGCCGCAACATTGATGATGATGATGACAAACAGCCGCAACATTGATGATGATGATGACAAACAGCCGCAACATTTCAGTTTCCGAGGACACTGAGGTTTGAGAGTTACCAACGTTTGCTGGTCATTGTTTTTTAAAAAAGAGGCATTACTTTCTTATTCATGGATATATTTCAAGTACATTTTCACCATCTGAAAATTTAAATGACAGGCAACAAGAACAATATGAAATATGCAAATATATGCTTTAGTTTAGTTTTAGCAAGATTTTACAGCGCTCGCAACTGCATAATAAGGTCATATGAGCACCAAGGGTGGATGTCAACAGAGAAGTACAAACGGGGAATCAGACTTACTCTGCTCACCTCTCTAGCCCCAAGAGAACAAAATCTGCTTCGACTATCAAGTCACCCCGGAAATAGCAGTTCACAAGAGAGTGACACATATACAAAAGAAGTAGAGGAAAAATGACGATAGAAAGGATGAAGAAAGAGAAAGCAACAGTTCCCCGTATGTTGTTCTGGTACAGTATGAGCATGGCATTGATGAATCAGCCCATTTCCAATTTTACTGAGCTTAAGAGTATGTTTATAACCCCCCCCCCCCCTTGGGAATGGATTAAAGACAACTTCAGTTAGTAGCACCACCCTGGAGGGGGGGGCGGGGAGATGGTACTCGTACATACCTACCTGTGTGGTACCACTTTGTAAGAGATTCGGTGGTCTAGCGCTGGTCTCCTCTGCCTGTTCTTCTTTCCCTCCCTCTTCTCATCTCCCGTCTTCTACCCCAAGCCCCACGCCTTTGAGTTTGTGTCAAAGGGAGTGTTAGATACACCCCCCAACTCTTCCCTGCCCCCCCCCCCTTTCTACTTAACCATCCAATACCCTTCCAATCCTATTGTACGATGTAATGCCTCCATGCACAGACCAACAGTCGCGTCGGTGGCCTTGTGGTTAGGCTACCGGATTCATACACGTGAGATTGAGGGTTCGGGGGTTCGAGCCTCGGCTCGGTCCGACATTGTGTCCTTGGGAAATACGCTTTAAACGAATTTCCAGTTTGGCTCGGTCCTTTCGGATATGGGCGTTAAACTCGGAGGCCCCGCCTCTTAAATAACCTAATAGTGTTGATAGGGACATTAAACCTATACCATGTCACCAGTTTCACAGACCAATCACCATCTGTTCCAAATTTCACATCCCTCCAACTGACCGTCTCAAAGTTACCTAGCAAAACGCCAACTCACAAAAGCGTGTATTTTGTTAGAAGATGCTAATGCTGACAGTCCCCCTTTGTGAAGATAAGCCCACAGACGATAAAGGTAAATCAATCGAGGACTTTCTATTCCAAGAACAATAGCATCTGTCATTTAAAAGATAATACATTTCCTACCTATCGAAACAATTCACATGTGTCAGGTAACGTGGTCAAATCAAGCGCTGTTCAAAATGATGAAATGAAAGAAACTGGAATTTTCTGGCCGTTAGGCAATTTTTTTCAGAATGTTCTTTTTTAGCTCCGCAACTTTTATCCCCTTTTAAAAACACATTTCCGAGTTGATTTTACTGAAAATCGTTGATTAAAGGCACAGAAAATGTAAATTTACAGTTTCCAAGAACTCTAAAGCTATGGAAGTCAACACATTTTGGCGGCTATTTTCTCGCTAATTTTATATCTGAAAACAGGCAACCCCATCTCATTCGATCAAAATCAAAAATATCTCCAGTTCTATTCAAGATAGATGAGTATTTTTTCAAATATGGGCAAATGACCAAGCTGTAAGATGATTCCATCAACTCCAGAAATATGCCCCAAAATTGACAAGCGCCTGGTTCCGCCACGTCGTGAGACATGTAATGCCTCACTCCTTGAATGCATCTGTTGTGCTCTAGTCCTGCTTCCACATTTAGACCACACTATCTCATATAATACCGTTTTGGAGAATGTTATTCTCGAGGAACATTGGAAAATGGTCATACGGCACAGAATAACTTTCTCCAAAACGGTATTATGTGAGACAGTGTGGTCAAATCAGTCGCTCGTCGAAATAGTGAAATTGAAGATACCAGCATGCTTATCGAATTACCGGGGGGGGGGGGTTGTTTTCTCTATAACCAAATAAATATACACACCAATGGAACCAAACTTCTCTTATAGGTAGGGCAATGCCCATTTTTGGTGTAGGTCAAGATTTCTGGTAACTCCCGAAATCTGGGTTAGCTCGGTTGTCCTTAAAAGTGACCATGTTAATTATGTCAGTTGAGTTGTGCGTGATTTTGTTGGGTTTGAAGTATATAATATTTCGTTCACATTTGAACATTATACTTTTATGTTCGAGTTGCTATATGACTTTTAAAGTTGTAATGTATCTTTTTTTTGTAATTACAATGTGGCAACTGAAGTCACATTGACATTTTTCGAACCGTTGGACAGTGTTTGTCGATCTTCTGTGTTCCCATTTGTTTGAACACCTTCTATGCTATTTTGAGTTTGAAAATATTAGGCGTATATTTGATGGAGAAAAAATACATACCCTTTCACTCTATCCCTCAGTATAATAATATGTGGCACAAGATACACTGCCTTTAAACTTTAAATAATGACAAAAAACAACATCAACAACAACATCAGCAACAACAACAACAACAACAACTACGGATTATTATTATCTCAGTCGAGAAAATATAGAACAGAATTTAAGAAACAAACAAAAACTTGAAAGAGTACAAAACAGACAAAGACAGAATAAAACCTGGAACAACATCAACGTAGTTTCTAAAAAAAAAACTCAGAAAAATTGTACAAATAATTGATAAAGAAAAAAATCAAGCCATTATGTTTATGTTTCAAGTCGTTTATTCAAAGTTATTCAAATCCTAACTTTGTTGTCATTAGAACATATGATTCAATCTTCTCAAACGTTAGTAAGTATTGAAACATTCTAAACTATGCTGAGACAAGTTTATTGTTCTGTCCCCATTTCGGCAGAACCCTTCTGTATCAGGGAGACAATTATTGCAGCAAACGCCACCATCAATCATACAAATGACAAGAGTTGATCAACCCACACCAGATTTATTGACCGTCCTACTTTCTTCTGAAGCTGAAGGTGAAGGTCAGGGCATCGTAATAGAACTGCTCGGGGTCACCGGAAGCGTAGGGCTCCACAGATCTGCTGACGTCACCAGACAGAAGCTCGTAGGGGGAGGCTCCGTTGAAAGCCGACTCCAGATGGAAGGTCCAGTTGTCCTTGGGCTCTCTCAGACGGAACAGCTCATTTCCCAAACCGTAGGAGCCAAGTTGGAGGTGGCAGGTGGCGCCAGTGTAGGTGTTCACACCTTTGACATTACAGTTGATGGTCACCTGGACTCTTTCAATTTCCAGCAACTCACCTCCGGCAAATACGATGACCTCACGGTTCAAAACCTGCTCCTGGCTAGCAGAGTTGTAGAAGGTACTGTCAGGAGTCCAGATGTTGGTGGCCGCAGCATACACACATGACACGTTGTACAAAGAGTCATCGAAGGACAGACTACGGTCAGCCCACAGAACCCTTCTCCTGGCGATCAAAGTGACCAGGTTGTTGGCACTGTCCACACCAACGATGTCCAGTTTGGTCAGACGCATGTCCACATCCAGGGGTCCGGAGTCGTCGGGTTGGGGGAATCCTGGGGAGGCTTTTCCGCTGACCCAGTTGTACAGTTCGTTGTAGCGGCTTGCCGAGGAGGCGCCTGGGGGGTGAGGAGAAGAATAAGTTAAAGGTGAAATAGTAAGACAAATTTAATGATGTGTGAATGACTTCTAAATATGCGTAAGCTTAAGTGTGAGAGGAGTTTGAAATTGGGATCTTTGGAAAAGAAAATCTGCGAAAAAGCTGTGTGTATTTCGATAAATTTATACAGATCAGAATAAAGACGACTGTAACAACAAAGGAAGAAGACATAATATAAATATAAAAGATTCTCGTATATAACAGCTGCTAATTATTTTGGATTTTAGTGCGTCTGAATTTCATCAAAGAAATGTTTTGTTATGAATGGCAGGTTTGATCGGATATTTGCTACAGTATAGAATGCGATCATCTTGTTCTTATGCTGAACCAGAATTGTGACATAAACATTATATTTGCCTGAAAAAAGATCCTTTCAACTGTAGTTGCAGACTTCCCTTACAGCTTTGATTTCTACAAGCACAAAGTTAACAACGTAACAAAGGATCGGGGATATTGAGGTTGACAAATTACAGTGTTTGCCTCTCATTATAAAAATCTCTTTTTAGAAACCTTCCAGCGACGAAAGAAAGTGTCCCTCTGAAATGTTCCCCTTTGTCCAATTCTGTTATCCGTTTTTCTCCTAAGTGCAAGTTAAACAAATTAAAGATCCTTTTGTTGCTGGTCCTAATAGCAGTAGAAGTAAGCTTCGGCTGTCACCCTGATGAAACTCAAAACTAATTCCTACCAAAGCGGTAAAAAGTCTTGTTAGAATGAAAATATAGAGTACCTTCGAACCCGCAATACATTTACCTTAAACCTGCATGGGGGTAAGGTAAGAGGCTCTACAAATTCAAAACGACGGTGACAAGGTAAAAAAAATCTGTTGCATTGCAGGTTGAAGAACCAGCATGAGAAAGTCGACTACCCTTGAGATCAAGCGAGGGAACACACAGAGGGACAGTTAACGAACGACAAACAAAAGAGACCCAAACAAACAACCAACCAAACAAACAAACAAACAAACAAACAAAAACCTATGGAAAATAAACTTCGTTAAAGGGTACAAGATTTCAACAAAATGTCTCACCAGCAAACGTGAGGGCGATGCACAGAAGGATGAAGCGAGCCATGGTTGTTGTTCTTCTCTGGTGGGAGTTGAGTGACCCTACTGAGATAGTTGCAGCCTTTTATAATACAGCTGACTTCTCTTAAACAATAATTATCGTCTAATTTTCTAGTCATTCTTATCACTTTCTAGCATAATCTGTGACACAATTCATTGAAATGAACAACAACATACTATTGTAGGTCACGGCCGCACAGTTTAGGGCCGATGTCATGACCTCTCCCTCTGGGGTTTGAAGATAATGAGGTCAGTGGAAGGAAACAGGGTACTCAAAATGTGTGTCGTTGTTCTGAAATCTGGCACTCGCTATAATATGACACTGCAGATATCCACACTTTTCCAACGGTCGGGGGTCTAGTGTTTCGGCTACTGGAATCGCAATCGTGAGGTTGCGGGTTAGGGGTCCGAGCCTCAGACCCGACGTTGTGTACTTGGGAAAGGCACTTTATACGAATTTTCCTCACTTCACCAAGGTGGGAATCGGTACTTGTGGTCTTGAGGTTATGGTGCTCACTTCTCATTCAATAGATTCTAAAACCTGAGAACGACGGAAAATCCTTTCACCTCCTCTCTAACCATGTTCTGTCGTCTCTTTCGCCTCCCCTCCCCCTTTGCCCCCTCCTCTGGACTCCTTACTCTTTCTGCTGCCTTTGTACTGCTACTCCTTGACTTCATCTTATTGCTGTCTTTCAGACACACCCCTGATCTTAGGGCAGGTAAGATCTAATATCTAGCGTTCTCGGACAAGAGCGAAATATCTCGGCAGTCCAGAATGCAACTTATGCCAGTTAAAGATCCCCTGGTGGTCCGAAATCGATAACAATTGGCTTCAGCAGCCATCCTGGCAAAATTCAAAATTAATTCTTACCAAAGTTCTAAATACTGTAGTCGAAATAAAAATAAAGAGTAGCTTAGAAATCGAAATGTTGCTGTCTTAAACTGGAAGGTGACGGGCCCTACAAAGAAGGGAAAAAAGGTGACAAGTGTAGAAAGTGGCGGGCTACTTTTTTAGTCCATTTTTCCTAATATAGAGAAAAATCGCCTGAAACAAGCATTTTTACATACATTGAGTAATGATAATAGATATTCAAACATAATATTTTGAGAAAAATCTTCACGCTGCATGGGAACGACAGTCATATTGGATTTTTGGCATTTTGTGGTGGGTGATGTATTTTGCTCATCATTATTAGTTTCTCATGATCGATGCATTAATGTTTCGACATTATCTTTCGACAACTTCAATTCACTGACCCAAAATACTTTAACTATTCACTTTTTTAAAGCTCTAGTGTATCTCCAAATTGAGTGAACCCAAAAGATGTTAGGGGTAGAGCAGGTAAAGCCTACAGAACAAAAAACATGAACATGTAGCTCAAATGTAATGCATCAGTGAATTGTATAATAATTTCTCAAAGTGCATCCATTCAAAATTTGAAGACAATATCTTGAAAAACAAAAATAAATGGTGAGAATAATAGAGAGTGGGTTTTGACTTGCTGAGCAGCTCAATCAAATACAATGGCATTCAGAAACATTCCTGTTCTGTTTTGGCTGGTTACCAAGTACACGGGATGCTTTTAATACTGTTATGGTAGTTTTGACACTATGGACTTTACATTCCATCTTGCAATTTCGAGGAATCAGAAGAAAAGTAATTTTACTAACAGAATCTATTATGTATGCTTCCAAAAATTGATATCTGAGCCCAAAACTAGTTTTTTTAAAAACGCGACTGCCCCTAGTCAAAGTTGTATGTCCCACGACTTCCAGTAAATATCTATGACAGATTGAATAACAGCTACAAACAACACTACATGATATGTAAGATGAACCACTGGCACCACGAAGACCCGCTGTGTGTGTTTGATTTTTTTTCAGGAAAGGATAGGGGGTCGGGATAGAGATTGATTGTGGGGAAGGAAGCTATCTTTACATTATGTATGTATACTATAATTCTGATGGCCCCCGACATATGCGTTACTTTATAGATGACACCTAGCGCATTTCAGTATTCCAAAGAGCGTGATCGAGTCGGATTTTGATTGTTTTAAGATTAAGAATTTAATAAGTGGTTGACTTCGATAGCTATGTGTCGTTATGCAGTGTCCAAGTGTCGAGCAATGACTGTTATCTATAGGTGTGTCGGCGACACGGCTTTTAGGTTGGGGGGGAGGTGGGGTTACTTAGGTACCTCACTGAGCAATGCATGATAAAAGTAGCTCGAAAACAGGGCGTTGTCTAATAAACATCATCTTCATTATCGATTTGACAGATTCTGAAAAACGTTACCTAATCCACTTTAATATATCATCATCGTCATCATCATCGTCATCATCATCATCATCATCATCATCATCATCATCGTCATCATCATCATCATCATCATCATCATCATCATCATCATCATCATCATCATCATCATCACGATGTCTCCGCAAAACCCGTAACATCACAAAACGTGACAGGCAGAGAAATGAAGAAGTAAAAGCAGGTATTGGCACTGAGTCCTGCCTGCATTAATTCGTAGAAAAACAGAGAATAAAATGGTTTAGCCACCTGTTACGAATGTCACCTAGCCAGCCAGCCTCGAGAGCCTACAACACCAAGCACTCAGGCTAGAAACGAAGAGGTAGATCACGCAAAAGGTGGATCAAGGTTGTCAAGGAAACCCTGAGAAAACATAATATCCCAATTTTTCAGTTTAAGTAATTCGTAGAAATAAAGGTTTTAAAGTCACATTATTAAAAGCATTGCCACAAATCGATGTGGGGTCTTTTTAAGGTCATTTTAAAACTTTTTAAAGACTTATTGCGACAACAGAAGATGCATTTTTTTCAACCCCCCCCCCCCCAAACCCCTCTACTTTACTTTACTTTACTTTTCCGATCCAGCAGCCATTTGGGTTCTAGCCCTTCGGTCTGTCGATATGGCAAAGAATTGACAGGTTTTAATCAGCTGTGCTTTGTCGCTGTATTGAGTGTTTCCGATGTCTGGGGAGGCAGGTAGGTAGGTGCTACGCAGATCGCTGAGTGCTGGGCAGTTAAAGAGGTGTTGTGGTACTGTTTCATCCTGGCAGTCGCACTGCGGGCAGTCGGGTGGGGTATCCATGTGGATCCTATTAAGGTAGGAATTTAGTGGTATGTGTTGTGTTCGTAGGCAAAAGATCGTGACTTTTTCTCTTCTACTCAGGGAATTTATTGCATCTTTTGAGTTGGGGGCTGTCATGTGTGCAAATACAGTTCTTCCAGTTTTGCCCATTGCCAATCCATTGAGCCACTGTTCCCTGGTGTTGTATTTGATGATGTTCTTGGCTGTCTGTTGTGATACTGGGTTGTGGGGTTGTGTTTGTGATGCTCCCTTCTTGGCAAGTGTGTCTGCTCTGTCGTTTCCTGGGATGTTGCTGAGGCCAGGTACCCAGTGTAGAGTCAGGTCGACGGCAATAACTCCTATACAAATGATTGGTTTCAAAAGAAACCAAACTATATGTGAGGCAGCGTGGTGGAATCAGGCTCTCGTCAAAATATTCAAGGTGAAAAAACTTGCATTTTTCTGCAGGTTTGTGAATTTTCATTAAATTTTTGTTTTAGGTCTCAACACCTTTCATGCCCATTAAAGAACTCATTTCTGCGGGGATTTTTCTGAAAAACGTTGATTAAAGGCAAAAAAGATGTAAATTTTCAGTCTCCACGGACTCTAAAGCTAAGGAAATAACTAATCTTTGGCGGCTACTTTCTCACTAATTTTACGTCTGAAAACAGGCAACCCCATCTCAATCACTCGCAAATATCTCGACATGTACTCAAGACAAAAGGATATTCTTTTCTTCCTAATGAAGACAAGTGAATAAGCTTTAAGATGATACCAAAAATTCTACATGCCCAAAAAATTGACGAGAGCCTGATTCCACCACGCTGCCCCAAATATGGGTCATAGTCCATTGAGTGAAACATTGTTTATCTATTCAATTTCCAAATGTCATTTGTCATTCCTAAATATGAATTATTGTACTGACCCCAAAGAAGGATTTCAAGTTCAAACTGTCCTTTAAAAAAAGCCCAAAAAAACCCATTGTGAAGACAACCGCTATTGAACAGGATACTAGATATTGGCATTTTATCTTTCACCCACAATTAGGATGCGCGATTTTCACAACTTTTACAAGAAATGACCAACATTGTAAAAGAATTTCGAAACTTTAAGTCGTTCGTGAAATGTCCAAAGAAGCACTACTGTGTTGTGACACAAGGCACTGGACGACCAAAATCGCGACGTCAAAACGTTCGACAAATAGCGAGAAAGAAAAAGAAAAAGCACACTTAAAAAATAAAAATACGTGGTATACAGTACGAGAGAGAGTGAATTGGAAAAACCGCACCGAATTGCCGTACTTTGCCCCTGGGGAAATGTTACTCCGCGTCCCATTGTTTGGAGTCCTACATTCTCTAAGTATGCCCTACTAACATAACTTATTTCTTCACTGTCTTTGATATCTTTTTGTGTGTTTGGGGGGGGGGGGGGGGGGGGGGCTATTTTACATCTATTTCTTTGTTGGTCTACAATCTTGTATCTTTCTTGCTTCCCACTTCCAGAGTTTCTCCCTGAATTCCTTCCTTTGTCTTACTTTCTTTCTTTCTATTGTCTCCAAATTATTTTTTCCTCGTCAATATTTCCTTTCTTTCGTTTGCCATAATATTCTCTTCGTCTTCTTTTCCTCATCTGCTCCACATTTTCCTGACCCCATTTCCCCAGATATTCTACAAAATGTGAGGCAGCGTGGTGGAATCAGGCTCTCGTCAAAATAATCAAAGTAAAGAAACTTGCATTTTTACGCAGTTTGTGAATTGTTTTTAAATTTTTGTTTTTTGGCTCAACACCTCTCATGCCAATTAAACAACTCATTTCTGTGTGGATTTTTTCTGAAAAACATTGATTACAGGCACAAAAAATGTAAATTTTCAGTTACCACGGACTCTTAAACTAAGGAAATAACTAATTTTTGGC